TCAAATACCTTCCACTCTACTGTCTTGCACAGATGCTTGACTGTCTCAGATAATTTACTTAATTGAATGAAAAGATACAAATCAAAGCTCATTTGATTCAAACCATTTTGCTCCCAACCAAACCTCTTCGTTCCTTCTTCCATCATGTCCACCAAATCCCTTTTTCAAAAGATAACAGCATTTATCTGAGTATTAAAAGGAGTTGCATCCAAGGACAAAAAAACTATATATATTTACAATTAAAAATAACACACAAAATGAAAAACTGGGCTTGCCACTTTGGTTTGCACTCGGCATTGAGGTATGAATGCATTCATCTGCCCTACAAACAAGCTATCAGTTCACAATGTCACCTGACTACATTTCAATTACAAGGAATGGAAAAAGGTTCTCTTAACTGAGTAAGAGTTTCGACCTACTTGACTCACTTGCATACCTAAAAGAAACAAATATCCTATCTGCCAGTTGCAGCATGATGCGTTAAAAGACCTGACTACTTTAAACTACACTGCAGCAGTATATCTCTTGCCGCTGAAAGTAAGGGATATTTGTTTTCACTAAGAAAAGTGGGATCAAACAACTTACTGATACAAGTTAAGAGGTAAAATAAATTAATCAGAGTGGTAATTGTGACTTTGCCTGTCCAAACAAGCAAAGGCAGCTACCGAAAAGGAGGTCCATGGGTTCCTGTCGTTATTTAAGGACTGCAGAGATTCTTAAGGTCTTCCTCTTTGGCATACCAGCTTGGTACAAGCTTTGAAGCATGGGGATGGAGGTCCTTGTAGGAATTTCTAATGGTCCCTTCAGCCACTCCTGTTGCTAGAGATATATCTGCATCCAAATGGCTTTGTTAGCTTTATAAAGACAAGAACTGGGATGAGAAATTATTGTATGTTTACTTTCTAACCTTTGAGAAGCTTCTTATCGTCTGAAAGTTGGGTTATTATGTAAATGACAGCAGCTGCAATTGATATTGGGCTTCTCCTGCGGCAGTTGACAAAAATTAGAAGTTATAAAATTACAACCTGTGACAGAAAATTCAAAAATCATTGGGGATAGGTTTAAAATCGAAATTCCTTGACAGAATAAAAGCAACATCTGTAGAACCACATGGCTAATAATTCTCCAATGACTCTCATCGAGAAACATGGAGGGCATGCCATATAGACAGAAAGCTTTCAAGCATCACTCGAGAGAAGACAGGTTAAAATTACTTGCACCCAGTGCAACCGTTCTTGGTGGTTATAGGATGAACTCCTACAGGCAATAACAACAGATAGAAGCAAAAATTCTGCTTGAAACTAAAAGGACCTTATATCCAGCTCTTCAGATTTTTGTACAGCTTCTTGAGCAGCCTTAACTGTTTGATTACTCATACCAAGATGCGAGCAGAAACGTCTCTGTAAATTTGTGGATGTCAGTGGTTGGAATGACAAATTCGGAAAATAGAACAGTTACATAATACAGAAAGGAACAGTGCATAGGGAAAAGAATGAACTATAGCAATTAAATGGTGGGTTATTTCAGCACCAAACTCACCAGAAAGTCCCCAGCATGTATTGTTCCCATTTCCATGGATTGACCCATCTCCACCTCCAATTGCTTCACGATGTACTCTTTTGCACGACCAATTTCTTTCTTTGTGGCTCCATTGGCAACAGAGCATATTTCTGATTGAAATTCACATGTCAGGGATTTTAATACATGCTAAGAAAATATGTTTATTAAGTATTGAATTGGAAATCATACCTTTTACAGTGCGGGGTTTGTCTTCTTGCCTACAAGCAATATAGAGGCAAGCAGCCAAAATTGCATCCTGGTTTCGCCCTCTAAGAGGTTTCTGATCTTCAACTTTCTTATATATTTCGTTGGCTCGATCCTTAAGTCAAATTCCCAAACCCACTAGCAGATTAGTTTCTATATCACAATGCCTCTTGACATTATATCAGCAGCAAAAAAAGAAAAAGCAATATAAATTTCGTGCAATAGAAGCGAAAGAAATAGAATCAAAAAGTTGAAACTAAGCATGATCAACCATGACGTATTGGAGAAGCACTTACATATAAGAGAGAAAGATAACAAACAATCAAACATAAAAAGTAAGAACTTTGACTTGAGTCTTTCTAAGTGATAGAACTTTTCTTTGAGATTCAAGAGTTGTATAAATATAGTCTCCTACCGGACTAGGAATGCTTGGAAGTGCTATTTGGATGTCACCCGCATTGATTACTTAAAAGGAACTATTATCAGGAACATTTTGGCAAATATGTGCTTTGAGTTTGTGTAAAACAATCACCAATAGGAGTGATGCCTAAGGAACCTAGAATTGATCATTTTCCTCTTTTCTTCAATTTTCAGCACTTCAAAAACTTAGAACAAAAATCATAATTCATTCCTTTTAAACTCTAAAACAAGCCTCCATCAAACCAGGGTCAAATCCATAGCAATTGCGACCAAATTTCCATCCTAATAGGCTATTGCTGTTCATATCCCATAGAATAACATCCAAAACTGATTTTTTTATTCATCCTCAAGATATGAATTTCCCACATTGATCATACAACTGTGCCTCAAATTTTACATTTTCCAATAGTGAAATTGGCAAACAACTATTTGACACTCTTCTTTCACTTCTCTATCTATTTGATAGTTAGTAATTTGCTTGGTCACTCGAAAACAATCTATGCTTTCCTCTCCAAGATACAACCTGCAATTCTGATGTCTGAAAAGCAATGATGCAGCTTGACCACTCACATATCTAAAACCAAGCATTAATATGTGATGTCCTTTTTTTCTTTTTTCTGGAGAGATTGTTGTATAACACAATCCTTTGCTATAGTCTCCTTGGAAACACTTTCCATTATACGTTTGTGATAAAATTGAATACAAACATAAATTCACAGCTTGGTATTATTTATAAGTATCAATTAAAATAAACAAGAGCAATGAGCA